GGGGGGGGGGGGGCAAGTGGTGCGGTGCGGGGCCTGATTAGTGTGTTGCAGCCTCAAGCCCACCGCCAGAACGACCTGCTCGCCGGTGGCAACCTTCATCATCATCCTCTCGCTTTCCAAACAAATGCTTTTGCGCCCCCTCCCCTCCCCCCCCCAGCAGCCCGCGAGCCCGTGGTCCCAGTCATCAAGATGGGCTTCAGCGCGCCCGCACGCGTCGACGCGCGCACCGGCGCGCCGCTCGCCGAGGCGGCGACCGCCGAGTCCGCCGAGGTCGCGAGCGGCGCGGCCGCGGAGAAGGGCGCGGCCGCTGAGGACAGCGCGGCCGCTGAGGACAGCGCGGCCGCGGAGAAGGGCGCGGCCGCCGAGAACGACGCGGCCGCGGAGAAGAAAGACGCGGCTGAGGACAAGACAGAGGGTGCTGATGACAAGGACGCAAAGGAGGAGGACGATGGGCCGATCGAGGTGCCCGAGTTTATCGAGGCCAACACAGACATTGAGCTCAACTAGAACTGGGGCTGCAGGGGCTGCAGCCGGTGGCGCAGCCCCTGGCGCAGCCTGCGGGTGTGCAGGCTGGGGGGCAACCGGGGTTGAGGGTTGAGGGGCGTCATCAACAGTGGACTGCGCGCGCGGCAGGGGTGGGGCTGCCTGCGCACGTGTGCGGCCCTGGCGCAGCACGCGGTTGGAGCCGTGTGGATGCGTGCCAGCTGCATCCAAGTCCCGTTTGGTGTGCCTGTATATATTGCAACTGCACGCATTGACCCGATCCACCAGCCCAGATTCTTAACGCAACATTGGATCGTACTACAAGCGCACCGTCAATCCATACCCAATCCTCAAAGGCGCCGTTGTTGCCCATGGGCGCGCACACTCATGCTCACAATGTTGTTCCCACCTCGTTCAAAGGCATGCGCTAGGCTCCTTTCAAGGCAGCCTCAGCGCACACTGCAGCAACCAGCAACCAGGGATGCACCCTGGCTTATCTCGAAGAGGTGAAGGCCTGGCCCACTTGATTCTATACCGCCCTTCTATCCCGCCCACTCTTGGCACATCCACCTGGCCAAAGGGCAAGTCAATGCCTTGTCCTAGCACATTTCCCCGTCCCTGTATTGATTGACTTGCAGCTGGAGGGCTTTCTGTGCTAGACACGCGCGGAAGGCGCATTCCCCGTACCCCTCGCGCTGTTGCTTGGCTGAGCATTGCCGCTTTGGCACTCTGTAGCCAATCCCTCTTGTGTCATTGATGCAGGGCCTTGTGCGGCATACCATCGCAATCTTTTCGTCTGTGGGTGCACAGTCTGTGCTGCTCTCCCGCTTCCCATCCATGCAACGCCGACGCCCGCTCGACCAACTGCAGTTCTGATGCAAGCAAGCTAACTGCAGCACGCAGACTGCATGCGCATCGCAAAACACACTCCCCACTGCCATTCCAAGTGGTGGCTGCAAGTGTATGCGTATGGATTTGCAGCTTGAAGGCTCCGTCCCCGGGTCAAATCCTGGCACAGCTCTTGGCACCGGCGCGAGACGTTTCTTTTGCAAACTCCAAACAAGTACCCGTGCCAGCCCCTTCGGCGCCTACTTTGCGGGGTGCATTCGTTGCGCCAACATGATGCATGTGCCAAGCAGCCAGTGCTGTTCCACAAGGCGTTTCCCCTTGGGAGTTGCGGCTTTTGCGCACAACTCGTTCATAAATGACGGTCGCGCCTGTGGTGCTGACCCTCGCGCCGACCCTGGGTTTGAACATGCTGCACAGAAATTCCGCGCAGGAGGGGTGGCTTTGCCCCATGACGGGACCTTTGAATCCCTCACTCAACCCTAGGGGCGTCATTAATGCCAGAGTAAGGACTCGCCGTGCTGGAGCCACATCACAGTCGCTGCGACAGGGCTGGCTCGTCGCCCATGGGGGTGCACATGCCACATGCTCACCCGATTCCTGCCTGCAACCACAACAAGTAAAATGGCTGCATAATACTTGGCTAGCCGCACTGGTTCCTGACGTGACCGAAGTGGGATGATTGACGCAGCTAGTGCATAATGACGCCGCGATTTGAGCTGTCAGTGTTTCTGCATGACCTGTGCATCATCCTGCAAGCGCCGCCGCCAGAGGATACATGTCGAATAGTCCAGCCGTGTCCGTGGTACGGCCTCTGAACCCAGCATTGTGCCCCTTGGCTGCCCTGCACATGTCTTTGAAATTCGTGCAGTGCTGATGCATTCCGAATGGGGGCCCATAGACTGGACCCTGAAGTGTAGGGTGACCTTTGACCATCCCGCCTGGGGACTGACAAATGCATGTGCGCTCATCAAAGCACGACAGGATTTGTTCTCATGTCCTTCATCAAATCAAGTTGTTGTATAGGTTTGTACGGTAGCAGCATGCGGCTCGTTGCCAGCTCCAATTATTCAAAGGTTTGCAAGGGGCACGTGCCATGGGTGGGGCTGAAGCGCATCTGCGGCACGTCATCAGAGCCGACCAGCTCGACATACTAATTCTAACATGAAGCATGTTAAACTCAGGCTCCTTCCGAGCAGAGTCGCCAGGGTCAGCCCTCGTCGTGGGTTGTCACCGCATGGGCCATCAGTTACACAACCCGAATGACTCTACAATTGCTTGATTTGCAATTGTGATGTTGGGCCGACGGAGCTCAACTGTCACCGGCGATCACCCCACGCTCGTGCACTGCACGTGGTTGACTCAATGGCTGGCAACCACAACGTTATTCAGCTTCCCTGCCCGCATTGAGCAAGCACTGTCGTCGTTCACATTTGATCGCCACTTTCACGCACCTTGGTAGTATCGATCCGACCTTTCCTTTCGCGGCCCGCCATAACCAGCCACCAGAGCCAGTGTCCCGGACCCACAAGAAGCAGCCATGGCGATTTGCAAGTTCCTGATGATGTTCCTGTTCGTTGCGGCTGTGACAGCCAGGTGAGCAAAAGACTGTGCTGCACGCCGACCCGCCTCAGCCCCCCCCCCCTCCGACCTCCCGCACCTGCGACTCGCGATCAGCTCCAATTACCCGTGCCTCCAGCAAGGCTTCGTCGCGTCCTATAGATGGGGCTGCAGCTCATACAGGACAGCCCCACCTGTCAACTGCGCTCCTGCCAATGCCCTTCGCGGCACTATTGCTAGCGAGGGGCACCCCACCGCCGCAGCGCGGCTGCAGGACCGTGCACTTCATTCCACATCTGCCTGCATCAACCCGCACCTCGCATATACCTCTGTTGCAACATCTTGACCAGTGGGCCCTGCTCCTCCTTGTGCTCGGTCCTGGGCCGCAGCCTCACCTCAGCGCACGCCCCTCAACCTGCCCGCTCTGTGAGCACAGTTGTCGTTACTCCAAGAGCTGCATCATGACTCCTGTTGCACTGCACAGCCTAAACCACCTCACACTTTTGGGCCTCCACAAACTGCCACGCCAACCTGTCAAACCCTCCCATTCCTCTGGATGCGCGCAGGCCGCTGGATGAGCCTCACGCCGCGTCCCGCCGGCGGCTGCAAGACGCTGCCACACTTCCTACACTGCCCACGGTTGTGGCCGCTGTTGCCGCCCCACCAAAGGGCAAGACAGCGGCGGCGCCTGTCCTCGTTGTGCCCGATGTGCTCACGCTTTTCTTCAACAAGTTTGGCCAGCCGGTGAGTGTTGCAAGCAGTAGGAGGTGTCCCGATGCAAGTGTTTCCCACACGGGCTTCGCACATGCAGGTCTGAAAGGCCTGTGCTCTGGGTTCCAAGGTGCTGCTCTGGGTGTGGCCCGGGCTTGTATCGTGTGCACACATTTGCCAGCATAACTTGCTGAATTGTCACAGATGATGTCCCGATCCAGTGTGCTCGCGCGCGTGCATGGGTGTGTTTGTGTTTGCGGACGCATTGCCTGTCCGGCCGTCCGTGTATGCTCGTCAAGTACACACATGCCGCAATGTCGTGCACCCGCTTCACCCAAAAACTCATCCTGCTGTTTTCATTCATGCTGATGCGCATTCCTGCCCATCATCCCCCCTACTTGCGCCCTCTACCCGACGCTGCATCCCCTCTGTCCTCCACAGCTCAAGTGTGAGTGGCGCAGTTCATGCTGTTCCTGAATGGCATGCACCCTCAACTGCACTTGCAAAAACTGTCACTCAACAGCCGCACACCTTTGCATGCTCCTGAGCTTGCAGATGACTGCCAGCAATCAGACCACTGTCGCCTTGACAGCCCGTTGCTCCAGGCTGTCACAAGATCAGCAGCCACAACAGAGGCACCTTTTCATCAAATTCGATGACTCCTCCTGCCCCCGGCCCGCTGATTGACCTTGCACAACCCCCACATGTGCGCAGCCCCCATTGTGAAGATGGGCTTCAGCACTCCCGCCGCGTCTCCCGCCAAGGCCGCCCCCGCTGCAGCCCCCGCCAAGGCACCTGAGGCGCCCCCGGCTGCGGCCCCCGCCAAGGCACCTGAGGCGCCCCCGGCTGCGGCCCCTGCCAAGGCACCCGAGGATTCTGCCAAGGCGCCTGCCGCCGAGGCAGAGGCTGCGGAGTCTGCTAATGTCATGGGTGAGCGCGGCGTGCAACATGCTGCATGATACTGTTTGTCAGATCCACGTCGACCGCCTGCTCAGCACTGGAACACATGCCCATGCGCACATTGTGTCCACACACGCGCTCAAAGCTCACTGCGCATGGAAACTCATCATCCCGAACCAAAACAGGTGCCGGGTTCGTCCCGCTGACTGCGGAGGCGCCCAAGGCGGCGGAGGAGGAGAGTGAGCCCGTGGAGGTGCCCGAGTTCCAGGCTGCCAACACCGACATCACCCTCGACTGAGCGGCTCGCTGCGTGCGTGCGACTGGTGCTGCGCCACACACAGCTGCTCGACCCTCGCGCGTGATGGGCCGCGCTGCTGCTGTGTGGATGTGAATGGGGCAAGCAGGTTTTGAACGAGGCCGACAGTGTGACGCTGCTCGTTCCCGGACCATTTTGCATGCACACGATATGCACGGTCCACACACGCAGTGCATGCACGTGTGGATGCATGCTGCCCTCCTTGCGCGGCCAACAGCTGCAGCCCTTCTCAAGACCGCAGCCACTTTCTGGGCAAGTGCATGCTGACAGAGGCGCAGCACAGGTGTTGCACAGCAGCTGGTGCCCCCACCTCGCCGTTATGGTGGAGCGCCGGCAATGCCAGCCCCGGCCACGCGCGTGCGCTGGGCGTAGAGCCACCATGCCTGTGCATGTGTTGAGCATGGGGGGTGTAGCTTGCATCCCAACTACCTACATCATATTTGTGTGCTGCGATCGAAGGACTGAACATTGCCACTTTCCACTTGAGTCGTTGCCTCTTCACTTGTGTCCCTTCTGGCAATTGGATCGTTCCTCTGCATGTTGTGACAGGCCAAAGGCTTTTGCCTGCTCCACCTGTCAGCTGTAGCAGATCTCATGACCCAGCAGCACGCCTGATGATCCCCTTGACTTGGCGCCCCTGCCTTGGCTGGTCAGGAGCAGCGCAGCCGCCTGCACAATGGGTGTGTCTTGTGTGTCTGTGATCTTGCCCCCATCCTCACAAGCACTGTGTGTCAGGAGCACGCCGAGGCGTGCGCCTGCACAGCAGTTGCGATTCGACCACTGCACAATTGAAGGGCCGACGACTTGAGGGTAGCCAGCCACCACCCTCTGAGTGGCTGGGCTTCGCCTGTTGCTGGAGTGCTTGGCGGCAATCCTTCTTAACTTCTTTGAGGGCTTCACCCCGGCTGGGCCAGTGCCTTGCCACCTTATTTTTTCTGGTTCTTTGTATCAGACACACGCAAGCGCATGCCCAGCAGGTGCCCTGTGTCTGTGCTGCAACTAACTGTCTGCTGCACACGCACGCCGGTCCCTGTGCATTCGCTTTGGTGTAACCCATGAGAGACACATGGCAGGAAATACACGGCCTCCAACGGTATGCATCCTGTGCAGGCGATCAGGTGCTCTGTGTCATGCATGGCACTGGCAGCTGGGGGGCCTCGCAGCGTCTCCTTGTCAGGCGGTGCCCAGGCGTGCATGTCGCCCGAACGTAAGCTTCTTGATTAAAAAGCCTACTTATACGTTATCATATTAAAACACTCGCTTCCTGGATGGATATCGTGGGGCGGAGGTAGGCGAGCGTAGCCGTCTCCGCAGTCATAGCTTGGACGCCATGGCTGGCGTAACACTCAAATTGGAGGTAGCGGCTTATTTGATTTTGCTGCTCAGCGGTGAGTTGAGACCAGGATGTGGCCCCGCACGGAGGCCTGGGGCGCGATTCGCAACTGGCGCCGTGGCCTTGCGTGCACACCGTATATGCAAGGCGGTGACAGGGAATTAGAACATCACCTGACCCCTGCAAACTGGCCAGCTTGTAAATTGCGATTATTGAGCGAAAAACACGGCAGCTTCAGTGGCCGAGTGCTGTGCGACAGACGTGCCTGGGGCCCGCCCAACTCTTGGCCGCGCCACTGTTCCCCCATAGGCCTCGCCAGCGCCCAACTGATGGGTCTCGAGGCAGCGCCCGCGGCGCCGCGCCTGCTCGAACCTGAGGAGCCAATGAACTTCATGCCCGTAGACGAATGGGTCGCGGCCCCCGCACGGGCAGCCGGCGCTGCAGAGGCGTTTGCCGACAGAGGCGCCGTGCCAGCCTTCGGCGGCCCAGGCCAGCAGCCCGCGCCCGCGCCCGCAGCAGTGGCCCTTGCCCGCCCGGCGGCGCCCGTGCTGGCAGAGGCGAAACCTGTTCAGCCGCAGGCTGCGCCACGTGTCATGTTCGTTCCCGAGCCCGTCCCAGCGCCAGTGTTCGTCCCTGCCCCTGCGCCGGCGCCCAAGCCAGCGCCCGCGCCCGCGCCTGTCCCGGCAAAGCCTGTGCCAGCATACCCCATGCCGGCTAAGCCTATGCCCGCAAAACCCATGTCAATCAAGCTTTCCTTGGAAGAGCCTGTGCTGGCCCTGCCGCACCCCGCCGCCGCCGACGCGCCCGCCGCAGAAGCCCCCCTGGCTGCCGCCTTTGCGGCCGCCGCCCAGGCGGCGGCGGACGACGCAGAGGCCACCGCCGCGGCCGCTGCAGAACGCCCGTCAAAAAAGGCCGCCATGGCCAGCGCCCCTTTGACCGAGCCGAGCGGCCTACCTCTGGGGATGACCCTGATCCCGACAAGCCTGAACACGAATGGAGAGACCGCTGGGCTGCCGGTCGGGGACGGCGTGCTGAGCTCACGGGCCTTTGTCCCTCTGGCCGCCCCCGGCGCTGCCGGCATGCTGCCCGCCGCCCCAGCGGCGACGGGCTTTGCCGACGCCCGAGACAACAGCGGCGCGCGCTTTGCGGGCAGCAACGGAGATGGGGCCCCCATGTCGACTGGGGCCACGCCCGGGCAGCTGATCCCAGGCGCGTCTGCCGGCACGGGTGGCAAGCTCGCCCCGCGGCGCCACAGCACGAACACGAACGCCGCGCCGGCGCCCGTGCGGCTCGCGGCGGCTGCGGCGCTGCCAACAGCCCTGGCGGCGGGGGCCCTGCTGCTGCTGTGAGCGTGGGCGGGCAGCGGCCACGGATGTTTTGTACGCGCCGGGCTCAGGGGCGCTGATGCACAGCCCTGCGGAGGATACTTGTTGCCCTGTGCAATCGCGCACCTTTGCGGCTGGCACACGTGTACACTCGTGCTTGTGTCCGCGGCTCAGCATAATTGAAGCATCGTGGTTTGCACCCAGCTTGCTTGCTGGGGCCCCCTCTTTGAGCCCCGATTCGACTGCACATCAGCTCAGCCATTGCATCATGCATTGCCACTCTTGCTGCACCATTGCCATGCGGGCATAATTGACCGGCGGTCTCATCATCGAGTGCAGCGCGCCGACACGCGCCTGATTGGAGGAGCGGTCCGCGCCTCGTGCGTGCCGTTGCCCTTGGCAGCGTGATGCTGCCACTATTGCAACCGCCCCATGGCGGTTTGGAGGACTGACTGATTCGTTGCATCATCACCTTGCATGAGATCACAACGTTACCATGAAGTTATGCCTGAGAGAACGCAAGCATTGCGATGCAGTAAATCCTGCTTGATACTAGTGCTGCCGCGTGGTGCATGCCGCAGGCTGCGCCGAGCGGCGCGCCGTCAGCCGCCCTCGCCCCCGCCGCTAGCCAGCCGCTCGACGCATGCATCCAGGCGCCGGCGCAGCCCTTGAACCTCTGCATCCCCTGCGTGAGCCTCATTTGACAGCTCCTGCTCCAGGGCCAAGGCCAACGCCCCCTCCCCGCCACCACGGAGGCGCTCCGCGGCGGCGCGCGCGGCCGCGGCAAACGCCCCAGCTGGCGTGGGGCCGGGTGTGGGGCTGGGTGGCGAGCTGTCCGGCTGCAGCTGCTGACCCTGCCGTGATTCGGCTGCCTGCTGCTGCCGCTGCTGCTGCTGGGAGTCGTGTGCCTGCTGCTGCGCGCGCGCGCCCGCCACCGAGGAGCCCTGCGCAAGCGGACTCCCCGGTGTGCTCTCAGCGGCTGCCGCCCGCGCGCCCTCCGCCGCCACAGCCTCGCCCTCCTGCTGCAGTGGCCCCGACAAGTGCTGCTGCTGCCGCAGCTCCTGCTGCTGCGGGGGCCTGGTTTCCTCTGCCACAGAGGCGGCTTCGCCATCTGGCCTGTCACCACCTTCCTGCACCGCCGCCACTGCTTTGGCGGCTGCAGCACCTGCCTCATGCTGCAGCTGCCCCTCCACCCATAGCCGCAGCGCAGGCGGCGCCACGGCCCCCAGATCTGGGTTGCTTGCAGCGTCCTGCGCCACCGCTGGCTCGGCCACCTCATCCACCTGCTGCCCTTGCTGCTTGTGTTCTTGCTGCTGCTGCTGCTGCTGCTGCTGCTGCTGCTGCTGCTGCTGCTGCTGTTGCTGCTGCTGTTGCTGCTGCTGCTGCTGCCGCTGCTGCTGCTCTGGCTGCAGCTGCACTTTGGCCAGCAGACCTCCTATCGCAGCCACCTCGCCCGCGGCCTCCTTGGCCACCGCCACAGTCTCCGCCGCTGTCACACCCTCCGCCATCACAGCCCCAAATCCCGCATGCAGCAGCTGGAGGTCTTCCTTCTCCTCCTCGTCCTCCTCCTCCTCCATCGCCTCTCCCCCCTGCTCCTCCTCCAGCTGCTGCTGCTGCTGCTGCTGCTGCTGCTGCTGCTGCTGACGTGGCACCAGCTCACAAGGTTCTTCCCAAAATAAGATGCAAGCCACCTCATGTTCCAGCAGAGCCCCCACCGCCAGCACCCGCGCCGGGGTAACCTTGGCCGCCGGCGACGCGCCGCTGCCGTCCACCCAAGCCCCAGGGCCCCGCTGCGCGGTGGCGCCCACGCTGCTGCCCGACGGGAGCGCCCAGCCAATGTCCCAGGGACGCTGTGGCCCCGGGTCCGACCGGCGCGGCGACGGCGGCGATCGCGGCGCGGCGCCCCGCGGCGCCGGAGGCGGCTGCCCCACAGGATCGACGCAGGCCGGCGCTTGCTGCGAGGGCGCGCCGGGTGCGGCGTGCGCGAGGCCGCAGGCGGCGGGGGCGCGGCCGAAATTCAGGACGCTTCTGTGCTGCGCTTGTGGGAGCGCGGCCACTGCTTTGCAGCCCCCTTTGTCCTGACGCGGAAGCTGCTGTCCCCCTTCCTGGTGCTGCTCCAGCTGCTGCTCCACCTTCAGCTGCTGCTGCCCTTCCTGCTGCTGTTGCTGCTGCTGCTGCTGCTGCTGCTGCTGCTGTTGCTGTTGCTGCTGCTCTGCCTGCTGCTCCAGCTCCAGCTGCTGCTCCTCTTCATGCCTTGCCTGCAACTGCTGCTGCAGCGTCAGCCCAGGCTCCTCCTCTGCCGCCAGTGATTGAGCCTGCTCCGGCGCACGCACCTCCTCCAACCATCCCTCCCCGAGCTGCGCACCAACCACCGCCCCAGCCTCTCCAGCCGCAGGCGCCAGGGCCTCCGCCGCCCCTCCCTCTGCCGCCGTCCCCCGCCGCGCCGCCCTGACCGGGGATCCGAGCACGCTGCGAATGAGTGCGCCCATCCCAACGGGGGGGAGCCCACTGCCGCCGCCGCAGTGGGGCTGCCGATCGCCGAAAGCTCCGCCATTAATCGGTCTGCCACGGGGGACCGCTGCGGCGGCGACGAGGACGGCTCAAGGGCCCGTTGGATCCGGACAATTGGCAGCGGCTGCGGCGGGTGGGAAAGCTGCGGCGCCGCGGCCGCCTGGTGCGGCGGCGGGGCGGGCGCGGGCGCTGCGGGGCCGCCCATGTCGAGGCGGCGCTTCGCGCTGTGAGCAGCGGCGGCGGGCCGGGCGTCGGTGACGACGGGCGGCGGGCCAGACGCCGCGAGCGGTGCGGGGTCGGGCGCGGCGACCAACGCGGGGTGGTGGCCGCCATCCAAAGCGGACAGCCAGGGGCCGGCGACGGCTGCGGGGGCAGCCCCCATGACTAGGCCCTCCGGTTCAACAGGCTGCTCATGTCCCTGCCCTTCCAGCTGCTCCTGCTGCTGCTGCTGCTGCTGCTGCTGTTGCTCCTGCTGCTGCCCCTGCTCCTGCACCTGCTTTGCCTGCCCTTGCCCCTCCGACTGCTGCTGCTGCTGCTGCTCCCGCTGCTGCTGCTGCTGCTGCTCGAGGAGGAGCAGGGGCGGCGCTGGTCCCTCCTGAGTCTGGGGACAGCTTGTGGGCTGGGACTGCGCCTCATCTGAAGCTATGTCCTGCTGCTGCTGCTGCTGCTGCTCCTGCTGCGAGGGCGGCTGCTCTTGCGAGTCTGCCTGCTCCCGCATGCGCAGGAGCGACAGCGGCGACTGCACGAGCGACAGCTCGCCCGGGTGATGCTGAGCCGCCGGCGCCGGCGGCGCCGCAGGAAGCCCATCAACCGGCGCTTGCACCCGTGACGACGCTTCCCCGGCTCCTGAGGTCCTTGCTGCCTCCACCCCACAACCATCCTGCTCATCTGAAGCTGCGGCGCTGTCGGGTACCGCAGCAGCGCACCCCTCGCCCACGGTCCCCGAAGCGGCGCTGGCTGCACCCGCTGAAGTGCGCGGCAGCTGCTCCAGAGGCAGCTGCTGCTGACCAAGAGCATGCAGCTGCTGCGCCAGAGCGCCGACGGCACCCGGCGCGCCTGCCGCCGAGACCCCGCCCTCAGCCCCTGCCCCCGCCGCCTGTGTTGGCTCGGCTGCCGCGGCGTCGCCAGCCCGGCCGGGGCTCGGCGGG